GATGGGGGGATTTTCTGAGATGGGGGGGATTTGTGAGATGGGGGGGATTTGTGAGATGGGGGGGGAGGATTTTTCCACCATTTTCAATCTACACTCTGTGGGAGATATTTGTCAACCGCGACACAAACCTAAGATCCATTCTGTGATTCTCCTTTCACCGAGAGGACGCAGTCAGAAGAATCTGTTTTACGCACATCAACTCTCCATAAATTACCCGAAATATTGAAGATAATTGACTCCAGCAGAAACCCAAATTCAAGGGAAAGGAAAGTAAGGGGAGAGAAGAAGAAGACGATTAATGAGGATTGTTGTACTCACTGTAAAGCCCTTTTCTCAATGGACCCCCACGTTGCTAATAGCGGGACACAGGAAGTCAAATACTGTCGGGACTTCCGTTAGCAGTCTAACTGAAGAGAAGAAAACAGCAGCAACTACTAACAAACCCAACAAACACAGATCTGGGGCCCGGCTGCAGCTCAAGAGCCACCAGAAGGGCCAACATTCGGATGAGGCCGAACCCCGGACATGATGGGGGACACTACCAACTCAGCCAGAGGGGGGACACAAAGAGTCAACCTGATGCCTGAGAAGAAGATGAAGTGGTCACCGACTAGAGAGGAATGACTCAAGACTGAAGGAGCACCGGGCCATGGGCCGAGCAAGAGTCCGGCCAACCTGAACCCACCAAGGAGCAGAACAAACAACAAATTCCTGCTAGGCAAGGCAAGAATCTGAGACATGATGGAGGAGGAGGAGTTATCCTGGGCTGGGCTACAGATCGTGTGTTTGCCACTATCCAATCCTCCTGTAGGTGGCAGTATAACCTGAGAGTATATGACTTTCTGTGTCCCTCAATGGACAAGAAAGTAAAAGAAAGGGAAGGGGAGGAGAAGAAAGGAAAAAGAAGGGAAGAGGTGGGGGAGATAAAGGAGGGAAAGAAAAGGGAGGGAAGGTAAGGGGAAGAAAGAGAAGAGAAGCAAAAGAAGGGAAGGGGAGGAGAAGATTTAGGAGGGAATGGAGGAGGAAGGTGAAGAAAAGAAAGAGAAAAGAAGGAAAGGAGAATAAATAGGTGGGAAAGAAAGATGAGCAGAAAAGAGGGGAGGGCAACAAAGGAAAGAGAAGGGAAGATGAGTAGAAAAAGGGAAGGAGAAGAAAGGGAAGGAGAAGAAAGGGAAGGAGAAGAATACAGAGTGTAAGGAAACTGAAGAAGGAAACTGAAGGCAAAGAAAAAGAGAACACAGAGACGGAAGTGGAGAGAAGGGGGAGGAATGGAAGAAAAGTAGGGATGTTCAGATACCAAGTACAGAAACGTTTCCGACTCCAAGACCAGACGAGTGAGAGAAATTTAAAACATAGGAGGCGGCTGTCATGTGTAAGGAGCACAGAGCTCCCGGGATTTGTACATCTCTGTTATAATGTCTGATTTTGTTATTATAAATATAAATAAATTGATGCACAGATACCAGTTTTGCGAGTACGAGTACTGATACATGTTTGTTTATTGTCATGTGACAGTTTATCTAAAACAATACAGACTAATGATTCCAGGACAGTGGTGGAGCGCCAGAGCCCGGTCCCAGCTGCAACCGCTGCAACCCTGGGAGTTCTCATGAAAATGCCAAGTATCGGCACCGGTATTGGCACCGGTATCAGAACATCTGTAAAGAGGGAAGTAAAGGGAAGAGGAAGAAATAGCAAGTAAAGAAAGGGAAAGTGGGAAGAGGTGCAGGATAGGAGCAGAGCGAGGAGGACAGGGATAGAGCGAGGAGGACAGGGACAGAGTGAGGAGGACAGGGACAGAGTGAGGAGGACAGGGATAGAGTGAGGAGGACAGGGATAGAGTGAGGAGGACAGGGATAGAGTGAGGAGGACAGGGATAGAGCGAGGAGGACAGGGGGAGAGCGAGGAGGACAGGGATAGAGTGAAGAGGACAGGGATAGAGCGAGGAGGACAGGGACAGAGTGAGGAGGACAGGGACAGAGTGAGGAGGACAGGGACAGAGTGAGGAGGACAGGGACAGAGTGAGGAGGACAGGGATAGAGTGAGGAGGGCAGGGGTAGAGTGAGGAGGGCAGGGATAGAGCGAGGAGGACAGGGGGAGAACGAGGAGGACAGGGATAGAGTGAAGAGGACAGGGGTAGAGCGAGGAGGACAGGGACAGAGTGAGGAGGACAGGGACAGAGTGAGGAGGACAGGGACAGAGTGAGGAGGACAGGGATAGAGTGAGGAGGACAGGGGTAGAGTGAGGAGGACAGGGGTAGAGTGAGGAGGACAGGGATAGAGTGAGGAGGACAGGGGTAGAGCGAGGAGGACAGGGATAGAGTGAAGAGGACAGGGACAGAGTGACCGTGCTAAGCCACGGCCCTCACCATTAGCAGCAGCGTTGTCAGCCTGAGACAGGAAGTTGTGACAGGATCTCCGGGGGAAGAAACATTGTAACAGATTCAGAAGCGATGATTTTCTTAGGAGAACAGGGGGGAGAGGATGTCGTACCCACAGAGACACACCCACTCTAACCCCTCCGTGTAAAGGGTGACACCCCCAATCAGGGATTGATAATCTGATCAGTGAGGTGAATTCTGATTGGTTGCTATCGGTAACTATATTTGTAGTATTGCCCATATTTGGAATTGGATTTCCCTTTACTTCCGATCCCAGAGACACCATGTAGCACACTGACACGCATGGGGTCACCAGGACAGTGACAGGAACAGGAAATCCCCACTGACTCCCTAACTCTCGGGTTGGGGGGGGGCGCGGGGAGAGGAGGATTTTTTGGGGATGAATACGGGAATGTCCAGCCCTGCAAAACGGATGACATGGAGGAGGACTACTTCTCATCTCCAGCTGACGCACATTCACTCTGATCCCATTGGGATTGCGCCGGCGCATTTCTCACGCAGGGCTGACGCGCTCCCGAGTCTCCGCAGACATAAATATTCAGTCGGGAAAATCCCAAAAAGACCGAAAAAAAGGAATTGTTATGAATCCGCTCCATTCAAAACGAATCGATCGGAGAGTCCGCCCACATGATGGAAAATCCTGCGATCCTATTGGCTGGTCAGCGGCGGCTCCGAGCGCCAGGCGCCACTCGCTGATTTTATTCTACGTTTGTACGCTGCCACGGCCGCAGGAGGAGCTATTCCCATAGAATAGAATGAAAAGCCCGTTCGGGGGCCCCGGGAAGACCCGTTCCGTCTGCTCCGGGTGAACCCGGTGATCACGTGACCGATGCCGAGGGAATCCTCCATGCACGGTCACTCACGGCGACCAATCGGCGCCTTCCTCTCATCGGCTCCGTACGGAAGGCGGCAGTGAAAGGGAGATTCTGATTGGCTGTTACTGGGAAATAAAAACGTCCCCTTGGCAGGCCTGCTGTGTGTAGATACCGCGCTACACCCCCGGCACCCGACATATCGCCTCGGAGACGCGGAAAGCGAGGAGCTGAATACAGATGAAGAGAAATGAGAG